GCAAGTAGTGCGGGGCTGAGGCGTGGCGATCCGGAGGTGTGTGTCGCGGAGGCGGAGGCGAGAGGTGGTGGCTGCGGTTGTGGTGTGCTGCACCTGTCGGTTCGATTCGGCCGCCGCGCCCCTCTCCGCCTCGGCAGACTCCCTGGCCTCTCTCACCTCCGTCTCCAACGCATACTTGTCCTGGTACAAGGTGGCGTTCGCAGCCTCGAGCGCCTTGGCCTGCGCCTCCAGCTGCTCGGCGACGGATGCCGCGCGCACCGCCTCCTCACGCAACATCGACTCGTACCGATTACGCTCGGCGGACGCCTAAGAGAGGGGAGCGTTGAACCATGAGCTATTGTTCTCCTCGGAGCTGGGTACGCGCTGCGACGAGCAAAGAAGCGGGTGACTAGGAGGTCCATGGATGCTCGAGTGATCTCAGGCAATCTCGGGGCAATCGCACCGCGGCACGCAGCTGCTGTAGCTCCCCCTCGACCTCGATCAACCGCCTGCTCGCTGCCTCCGCCACCCCCGCCGCGTCGCGCGCCTCGTGACTGCACCGTGTGTCCGCCTACGCCGCACACGGTGTGCGTCATCGACGTGTCGTGCACCGGATGGTCAGCAGCGCGCGCCGGCCTCTTGCAGCAGCTCTGCCCGCTGCTGTCGCAGCCTCTCCTCGTGCCGGGCCTGCAGCGAGACCACACGCGCCTCCCACGCCCGCGCCCGCCGCTGCACCTCGGCCGCCTCTGCCCCGCGCGACGCGCAGGCGTCCGCAAGCTCGACCTCTGAAGAGGGCTGCACCAACGGTCGGCGGCGCGGGCGCGGCGAGGCGGAGCGGTCGGCGGCGGCGGCGCGCCGCCGTGCGCGAGCATGCTGACGATGGAGGCGTTCTTCCTCCGCCGACCGGGGTTGTTATTAATTGTTGTAAATGTGTTGTTGGCATTAATGGCTTTCCTACAGCGTATCACCCCGCGCTGGCCCAGAAAGAAATTGTTGTTGTTGAGATTGACCGAGTTGGCTCTCCCGTCGGGCGACTTCTCGTCGATATATGGCACACGGCGCCGTCAGCACTGACAATGTCGCCGAACCGCGCCCTCAAGCTGGGTGATGTTCACAGCGGGGGTCATTGCGATGTGTTTTCGCGCAAAAGTCGTATTTCTCAGCAATCTCTCGGATGCAAGAGAGAGACGGCGCTCGCAAATTGTAGGGTGGGTCATAGCACGTCTAAGAACGTCCCCAAGTGCACCAAAACCTCCAAACAAGGTACGCACCATCGGACATGTCACGGCCACCGCCGGCTCGGCCCCACGATAGCCTCCGAAGCGCGAAGGCTGACTTTGAGGCACCATCATTGGACGATGTCGACGAGTTGGGTCGCTCTCGCGGTATAGCCAGATGACCTCTTGTACTAGGATCATCGACCATGGCCGCAGGGAGCGCGGGGGATGGCGTTGGGAGCAACACGGAGCTCCGTTGGAGACGTTTTCAAGCTTGCGGGTCAGAGTGAATATATTGGAAATAGCCACAGGGCTCTGCAGCTCAAGAATTCTAAAATGGAAGCGCGAAGCGGTGGAGCTCGGAGAAAGAAAAATCTCGAGACCAAATTCTTTTTTCCCGACACACAATGCTCACCGCTCGCGCCGCTGGTGTGCTGCGAACCACCGGCTCGCCGAGGGGCCTGGCGCACCTGCTGCACGCGCGCTGCAAGACGAGCACCGGGATCGTCGGGCTGCCCGTCCAGCCCGAGGCGAAGGCCATCCTCGAGGGCCTCTACACCAAAACGCTCTCTGCGCTCGAGGTGCGGGCGCTTCCGAGGATCTCCGAGATTTCAAGACACGTCGCCCCGTCCTCGCTTGTCATCTCGCCACGCCCGCGATCCGACACCAGCGCCCACTGCACACGCGCCGCCGCGCCGCCTCACGCCCCTGCCGACTCGCTCCGCTCGCGCCGCCACACACACTTGTGCGCGCAACCCCCAACGCGCTGGCACGCAGCGCACATCGGTGATGCGCCCCGCGCGCGTCCCGCTCGAGGCGTTTCCGGCGTCGGCCGAGTACGCAAAGGTGGTGGGGGGCATCGCCAAGGAGCGGCTCGCGGTGGTCAAGTCGGCCGCATCACTTCCTGAGATTGAGGCCAAGATTGGCGCCGGGCAAGTCGAGCAGCTGATTGAGCAGGCGCACACCGCCGCCGTCCGCCCCACCGCCGCCCCCCCTCCCCTCCACCACCTTCGCTCTCACCCGCGCCACCGTCACCCTCACTGCCGCCTCCCCCAAGCGCTCGTGAGACACCGAGTGCTGCCCGTTTGTGCTCTGGGCGTGGAGTCGCGAGGGCCGCCTGGCCCTTGGCCTTTCCCACCTCGTGTGTGTGGAGAAGTGTACCTTACCCTTAGGAGTCGCGAGGGCCGCCTGGCCCTTGCCCCACCACCTCGTGTGTGTGGAGAAGTGTGCCAGTGTCCCTGACCCTTCCCTTCCCGGCGCGCGCAGGCGGAGGACGAGCTGAGGCTCCTCCCGGTGATGCTGGAGGAGCGCGTGTGGGAGGCGTATCAGGTGTCCATATCTCCCCACATCTCCCCACATCTCCCCACATCTCCCCATATCTCCCTATGGAGGAGCGCGTGTGGGAGGCGTATCAGGTGTCCATATCTCCCCACATCTCCCCACATCTCCCCACATCTCCCTATGGAGGAGCGCGTGTGGGAGGCGTATCAGGTGTCCACATCTCTCCCCACATCTCCCCACATCTCCCCACATCTCCCCATATCTCCCTATGGAGGAGCGCGTGTGGGAGGCGTATCAGGTGTCCATATCTCCCCACATCTCCCCACATCTCCCCATATCTCCCTATGGAGGGGCGCGTGTGGGAGGCGTATCAGGTGTCCATATCTCCCCACATCTCCCCACATCTCCCCATATCTCCCTATGGGGGAGCGCGTGTGGGAGGCGTATCAGGTGTCCATATCTCCCCACATCTCCCCATATCTCCCCATATCTCCCCATATCTCCCCATATCTCCCTATGGAGGAGCGCGTGTGGGAGGCGTATCAGGTGTCCATATCTCCCCACATCTCCCCACATCTCCCTATGGAGGAGCGCGTGTGGGAGGCGTATCAGGTGTCCATATCTCCCCACATCTCCCCACATCTCCCCATATCTCCCTATGGAGGAGCGCGTGTGGGAGGCGTATCAGGTGTCCATATCTCCCCACATCTCCCCACATCTCCCCATATCTCCCTATGGAGGAGCGCGTGTGGGAGGCGTATCAGGTGAGGGGAGATATGGGGAGATATGGGGAGAGGGGAGATATGGAGCGTGTGGGGGGCGTATTAGGTGAGCCCGCCTCCGAGACACCTCCGAGACACTTCCGGCACACTTCCGGCACGCTTCAGGGACACTTCAGGGACACTTCAGGGACACTTCCGGCACGCTTCAGGGACGCTTCAGGGACGCTTCAGGGACACTTCCGGCACGCTTCAGGGACGCTTCAGGGACGCTTCAGGGACGCTTCAGGGACGCTTCAGGGACACTTCAGGGACACTTCCGGCACGCTTCAGGGACGCTTCAGGGACACTACAGGGACACTTCAGCAGTCACCAGATCTCCCTATATCTCGCCATCTCTCGCCACCTCTCCCCACCTCTCCCCACACCTCCCCACACCTCCCCACACCTCCCCACACCTCCCCACACCTCCCCACACCTCTCCCCACACCTCCCCACACCTCCCCCACATCTCCCCACCTCTCCCCACCTCTCCCCGCCTGCAGGGCGCCCCTGCCGACGACCTCTACCTCGACCTGAAGCGGCGCGGCATCACGCTGCAGCGCTTCGACATCCCCATGCGACCATCGCAGGTGTGTCCGCTCTCCCACCTGCCACACACCCGCGCGCCGCCGCCGCCCGCACTTCCGCCGCACACGCCCCCCCCCCCCACATGCAGAATATGCTCATGTTGGTGCTAGGGGGCAGCATTCCTCCCAAAGGCA